CGTCAAACGAATGACGAAGAAGCAATGACGCTCCGGTAACGCTGCAGGGGGCGGTGTTTAACGCTCTGATACGGTATCGTATCAAAATATGGAAGAGAAATTGAGAAATTAAGGGAGGAGATGAAGAATTTGGGGGAAGAAGTGAGAGAGTCAAGAAGGGGAGGAAGGAGACGATTTGAGAGGAGAAGGGAGGAGAGATTAGGGTTTAGGAGTGAAAATATTATTGTTCTTCATTAATGATATTCTCAAGGGGATTACAACTCAATATATAGATAAATATAATAAACCCTAACGCTAGCAAATACCTAATCCCTAAGCCTGTCGGTTCAATAAAAGCGTCGAGGTAAAGAACCGAAAAGAAACCCTCGAAGGAGTGTTATAATTCCACTCAACAACAAAAAGTAAATAAAAATAATTAAACTATCTAGCTAAACTATTAAAATATCTAATTAACTATAAATTATTAATTAATCCTTCTGTATCACTGCCGCCCCGATAGAAACACACCTTGTCCTCAAGGTGTAACTAGTAGGAAAGCAAACGGTGTGCAATGACCCTGTGCATGCCATGTTTGGTGGAGGATCCCATTCAAGCTTCAAAATAGTTGATGCAATAGCGAACAAAATAAATTGGCCACCTTCGGACCAAGCCTCCGAATTCTGTCCAGGCAAACAAAGAACTCCAAGCAATGTGATGAGGGAAGGTGCCTCGAAAGAAACAAAATGCAACCCCCTACCACCCTCAAGTAAAACATGATCCCTAACTCTTTCAAACATGCTAGTCAATGGAAAAGCCTTTGGTAGAGAAACATCATTAGGCAACACAAACGGGTTTTCCAAGCTTATGTTTCCCGCAAAATCCGTAGCACAATCATCAAAAATGATAACAGGAACCTCATCAGAAACACTTGTAGGAGCAATAATATCTTTCTCAACTGTCACAACTGAAATGATTTCCTTAACGGGTTCATGCAATTGCTCTTCTTTTGGTTGCTCAATGTTCGACATCCAAGCATTAGGACGAATGCCTGTAACACTATAAAACCATGTTGGAAAATCTGGATCCGGTCGCCGCGGTTTAAAAAGGCGATTACAAAATAACCCACTTTTGTAATCACTTAGGGTCTCCCGAGTTTCCAAAAGAGAGAATGCATCATCAACGCGTCGTGACAGAGCAATTTGTTCTTGGCGGAGTGCGTGAATCTCAAGAGCGAGATCCTTGACAGCTAACCAAACATCATTTAGGGACGAGGCAGCGGGCTGTGATGGTGCCGCCGACGACTTTCCCGCCATATGAATCAATAAAAAAAATTAACAATAATTGTGGCCTGTGATAGCAAGGGTGAAGCCGACAAGTGCAACCCACCAAATCAAAATTGAAAATAAATATATTCAATGAATCACCAATTGCTATTGCCGATCCCTCCTGGAAATATTTCTTTCTATTGCCAATGTCTTTGCACAGCAATTATGCGCAAGAAAAAAAAAACCTAATGGAATTCTTCACAAAGCAAATAACCTTGCAGCTGTCCCTTGAATTGTGGCACGACTAAGAGAAAAGAGCCCGACGGCGGCAAGTTTGATGGCAGTGAGCCAGTGACTAATCTTTTACTCTTTTTTTTGGGGGTGAGTTCAAGAACGAGAGCACCAATTGATACGGTATCGTATCAAAATATGGAAGAGAAATTGAGAAATTAAGGGAGGAGATGAAGAATTTGGGGGAAGAAGTGAGAGAGTCAAGAAGGGGAGGAAGGAGACGATTTGAGAGGAAAAGGGAGGAGAGATTAGGGTTTAGGAGTGAAAATATTATTGTTCTTCATTGATGATATTCTCAAGGGGATTACAACTCAATATATAGATAAATATAATAAACCCTAACGCTAGCAAATACCTAATCCTTAAGCCTGTCGGTTCAATAAAAGCGTCGAGGTAAAGAACCGAAAAGAAACCCTCGAAGGAGTGTTATAATTCCACTCAACAACAAAAAGTAAATAAAAATAATTAAACTATCTAGCTAAACTATTAAAATATCTAATTAACTATAAATTATTAATTAATCCTTCTGTATCACGCTCCCTGGGCGTGAAACGTCCACTCACGCCGCACGGCGTTACGGGCATTACCAGTGGTCTTAATGGTTAATGTGATAAAAAATACCAATCGCGCTATGGGTACACCACTTTGTACCCCAGTGGTGTACCCCATATACCCCCACCCAACCATACGTACAGGTCCTTCCAACCCACTCTTCTCTCCCCCCCTCCTCTCTCTCTCTACAAGTTCTTTCTTTTTGTTTTCTCCCACCGGAGCACAACCCTTGCGCCGCCATCGTTTGTGGCCGTTGTGGGTGAAGCAGTGGAGACGCCAAGTAGCCGAATTTAGATAGGCCCTGCTCCTCCTGTGCATCGAGAAGAGCATCGGCAATTCTAACCCAGCGCCGATTATATCTGGCTCTGGCTCTCTCTTCAGATTCTAATCCAGCGCGCCTCACACTCCTCTGGCCGCCAGCTTTGCATTTTCAATTCTCGGTAACTCTAATGCTCAAATTATCGTGCTTGATTGGAATTTCGATTTTAATTTCAATTTCAATTTTTCTTTCTTCATGTTTAGAGTTCTCATTCCCTTAATCAAAACATTTGTTCATATGGTCACTGAGTGTGAACCACTTCGAATTGCAAGTTATTTTTCCTAGATTTGGGAAATAATTTTGTAGGATTTTGTTTAAATACGGGCTTGCAAAATTAAAATGTGTATATGTTTGCCGTTTATTTCATAGAAATTGTCGGACATTAATTGATCCAGAGTCGCAGGTATAGACTTTTCTACCAATTTCTGCTTTTTTGAACTCGTTTTGCACAAACAGTTTATGCCTGTGCATATATGGCGGCAGAGGTTTGCACCCACGCATAATGCTCGTTTGAAGTTACCATTAGCCATTTGTCATGTGTATTAGAAACCTTTTGATCCATGTTAGGCACTTATGATTACAATTATTTTCTACACTTCATTTTTGTTGGGTATATTTAGATGTCTTCTATGCACCTTTAATTAGTGCCTATGTGATGCCTATTTGATGCCTATTTGATTTCACACTTGACAACTAATGGCACTCAAGAATAATTGGGGAAACTGTGTTACAAGAAGGACAAGCATCCACACCGATGTAGGTGTTACTGTAAGGCAAAACATGCAACTATGGAAATGGCCCGAGGAAAATGATGTGTACTACTTAACATGCACCAATCTAGATCTTAGACTATGAGTGTTTGTGGGCAAGTTGCACTATGTAATATTTTGTATTCACCACTTACACATGATGTAAATAAACTTATTTTGTGGGCAAGTTGAACACTATGTCAGGGTGGAAGTGGATATGTTTTGTAGTGTTACTGGTTGTGACCTCTTGTTTTGTTAAAAACAGCATTAGTTAATCTCAAGCTGGAAGTGGATATGTTTTGCTTCAATACACGAACACTCGCTGCCTGTGTGGTACTGCTTTTGTTAAATACACCACCAACACTTCATATGTTTATGTTAAGGATTCTGTTCAATACACCAACACTTACTGTCCGTGTGCTATTGGTTCTATTCAATACACCAACACTAAATGTCTGTGTGCTATTGGTTCTATTCAATACACCAACACTATTCAATATTTAATTCAAATATAATCCTAACATAACAAAATCCTATTTGTATTAGTTTTTAAAAAATAGTCATTTAAGGGGTTTTTTTATTCTGTTCAATACACCTACACTTACTGTCCGTGTGCTATTGTTTTGCTTCAATACACCAACACTAAATGCATGTGTCCTACACATCCTTTAATATAATATTTAATTCATACTAACATTTTTTTCAATGGAGTTCAAATATAATCCTAACATAACAAAATCCTATTTGTATAATTGTTGTAAAAAAAGTCATATAAGGAGTTTTTTTATTCTGTCGAATACACCTACACTTACTGTCCGTGTGCTATTGTTTCTATTCAATACACCAACACTACATGTCTGTGTCCTATTCATCCTTTAATATAATATTTAATTCATTCTAACTTTTTTTTCAATGGAGTTCAAATATAAGGGGTTTATTTATTCTGTTCAATACACCAACGCTTACTGTCCGTGTGCTATTGTTTTGCTTCAATACACCAAGACTAAATGCATGTGTCATACTTATTTTCTTAAAATCACCACCAACACTTTATATCTTTATGTTAAGAATTTTGTTCAATACACCAACACTTATTGTCCGTGTGCTATTGTTTCACTTAAAAACACCAACACGTGGGACTGCTGCATTTCTTGTTTAGTTTTTATTATACGATCTACTGGTCTTGTCATATAACTTGACCATTAACTGGAGCAATTCTGCATTTCTTGTTTAGTTTTTATTATGCATTTGCTCACACACTTTTTGGTAAGTAATACTCTGTAATATTTTGTCTTCACCACTCATAAATGATGTAAATATACTTATTTCATGGGCAAGTAGAACACTAACTATGTAAATAGTATTTCCTTGTGTAACTGCTGTACACTTAGACTTAATAGTTGTTTCTCTTGAATACACCAACACTTAATATCTGTGTGCTACTGATTTTTTTCAATACACTAACACTTAATAGCCGTGCCACATATTGCCTACGGAAGTCGTCGACATAATCGTAGGTGCAGTCAGGAAGTAGTGGCGAACGAGCCAAGAGGTACTCCGCGAATGCAAGGATCGTAACACCACATACATGCTGCATATTGCCTATGCAAGGATCATAACACCACATGCACGCAAACCTACATTACAATTCAAATACAAGACAATGTAATACCAAAATATTAAATTTCATAAATAGACTTATTAAGTGCAGGTTGTACAAACAAAAATGTTTGTGAGTGAGCAAATAATAACGTAAGCGTAACATAGTCAAATGGGCAGAAAATGTAGGTGTGAAGCTATTGGGGTGTAAGTAGCATTATCCTACTGACATTATTTGTAGGTGAAACCTACATCCTACTTCTGTGCACAGACTAAAATTGCTGGTGCAAAACAAAACTAAAAGCAGAGAATAAATGCCGAAGCTGACACTATTTGTAGGTGAAACATACATCCTGCCTCTTTGCACAGACATAAATTGCTGGTGCAAAACAAAACTAAAAACAGAGAATAAATGCCCAAAGTTACATTATTTGTAGGTGAAACCTATAGCCTTCCTCTTTGCACAGATATAAATTGCTAGTGCAAAACACAATTGAAAGCAAAGAATAAATGCTCAACCTGACATTATCTGTAGGTGAAACCTACATCCAACCTCATTGCACAGACATAATTGCTGGTGCAAAACAAACATAACTGATGTTGGTGATGATGTTCACCACCATGTTCCAAAAATGAAGGAAACAATGGCATTCCCTAAAACAATGAAATTTTGGTGATGATGTTCACCACCATGTTCCAAAAAATTTACCGCACTGCAAAATAGACTTACAGGGAAACAAGATGAACAATACAAGCATTCAAAGATTTTTAGGAGATCAATACTTGTTTATTGAATCACAGATTCAATTGTACGAAATGAAAGGTCCCTGAAATTCGATTAACATACCAAAAAACTGGAGCAAAATGAACTTGATAACCTGGTCAATTGAAGATGCAAAGTGCCATAAGGAAATTTATCCGCAGCTTTGCATTTAGGGTTTAATGAACATGCATTTCGGAATTTAAAATTCACTAATCCAAAGAATTATTGCGAAAAGAGGTTCAATTGAAGAAGGAGGAAAATTTACCTTGATGGCGGACCGTCGGCGGCACAGAGGAGGGTTGTGAAGACGGCAGAGAGGAGTTCTGTCAAGGCGGACCACCGGCAGGCGGCGGCGGCAGTGAGGAGGGCGGTGAAGATAGCAAAGAGAGAAGATAAGAACCGGAAAAGAGAGGAGACAGTAAAGAGAGGAGGCTGGGAAGACGGCAAAGAGAGGAGAGAGACTAAGGTGGAGAAGCAGAGAGGACGGAGAAGTAAAGGGGTGGGGGTTACTTGCACATGTAGGGGTGGGATGTCACTTGCATATG